TTGTTTGATGGGATTATTGCCAAAGCTGGGCACATTAAAGAGGGGTGGCCTTCCACCCCCAGACCCCCCCCCCCAGTAGGGGGGGGGGAATTCTGGGAGTTGAAGTCCACTCATCTTAAAGTGGCTAAGTTTGGACAACACTGGTGTATGTAATGCCCTCCCAACAATGCCATTCAAAAGCTAAGCACATACCTTGGTCTGAAAAAAAGATCCAGATGAATTAATGGTTGGGCACAGTATTAATGCACCTTCTGGTTCCTATATACAGTATGATTAGAAAGAAGATATAGTAATGTGTTTGCAATGACAGAGGCATGGTTGTATTTAATTTTGATGAATTTCAAAATGTATACATGGCAATAGCATTTTTCCCCTTTTTCTACAGTGCTCTATAAACTATTTTTACTCTGTGACCTGAATAATTAAGATAAATGATTGAGAATATGACACCCATACTGTTTTCAAGGTTTGCTGTTTCAGTACTGATGATGCGGAAAGAGATAACAGGTCCTGTGAAAAGAACGGTGACAATAAATAGACTCACATTCTAAAGTGAGGATCAGAAATTGATTCCGTTAACATTAGGATTGAGAATCCTTATTTTCCATACAATGGTAATAAGGTGGAATCTCCACGATAACTTTTGGCATAATGAGTGAGCCATATGGATATGTATATTTGCTACTCAGCACATCCTGAAAACGGGACAGTTCTTTTATCCTGTCCCTTCTCTAAGGAGCCAAAGAAAACATACATGGTATTGTGACCTTCTTAAGGCTTTTGCCTGGTAACAATGCTGTGAGGCAGAATAAATTGACAACCAGAATGTACTTCTCTCTGAGCACAAATCTGAACTTGTGAATCTCCAATTGCCACATCTTAAAACAAGAATTAGGGGACGTGGTGGTGCAGCAGCTTAATGACGCTGAAAGTTGCCAACCAGAAATGGTAGACACTTCAGTGGTTCGAGCCCAGCTCCGCGCAGCAGAGTGAGCTCCTGCTTCCTCCCCAGCTCCTGTCAACCCAGCAGCTTGAAAACATACGTGAGTAGATAAATGAGTACTCTCACCCCGGTAGGAGGAAAAATGCTGGCGGTGCTTGCACGGGAGACGGGACCAAGTTGCCGGTAACGCGGAAGCCGCGCACGCCCGAAAAAGGCGCGAAGCAACAGACACCCCGCCTCCTGCACTCACCAGCTGGGCTCTGCTCTAGGAAGGAGGCAATGGCAGACCACTTCCGAAACACCTTGCCTTGAAAACTGCAGGAACGCGTCCAGGCAGTTGCTGCAGAATCAGTAACGATTGAGTGCAGATAAAAAAAAAAAAAACAAGAATGGGCAACTTGAGACTCAAAGACTCCATATAGCTGGCTCCCAGAAGTCTTTCTGATTGTAATTGCTGAAAATCAGTGAGGTGGTTTCCAGCTGTTTTGATGTGGGGGAGACAGTAAAATTGCAGTATAAGCATTCAGACAGGCTTAATTAAAATAACAAAGGAAACTCAAGAAGAAAGGGAAAAACCCGACTTTGTGGACATGCATTTCCCTGCCTATTTTGCATCAATTCTCCTACCTTTTTTTGCTTCCCACAAAAACTTTAAATATGGCCCCTAACCAGCAAAAGATTGGCCACCATGCTTACTATGATTATTTCTCACTAGAGACTGCTATGTAAACAGTCATGCAAAATAATTCCCTTGGCAGTGTTATCCCAGGGCCCTGCTTAAAGAATTCTTTTCCTTCTCTGAATTCCTTTCCTCCTGAAAGCTACGTTGGACTGCAGCCAAATTTTGTTTTTAATT